ACAGAGCCCGACGCGGGGCTTGAACCCACGAACCGCGAGATCATGACCCAAGCGAAAGTCGGACCCTTAACCGACTAAGCCACCCAGGTGCCCCTCTATATGCTGTTTTTAAACAGCTTTATTCAGGGGGCGCCTGGGTGGCTCACCTGGTTAAGCGTCTGACTTCAGCTCAGGTCATGATCTCGCGGTTCGTGAGTACGAGGCCCGCATTGGGCTCTGTGCTGATAGCTCGGAGCCTGGAACCCGCTTCGGATTCTCTGTCTCCTTCTCTCTCTGCCCCTCTCTTCTCGTACTCTGTCACTCTCTCTCTCAAAAATAAACAGACATTAAAAAAATGTAAAACCCGGGGCACCTGGGTAGCTCAGTAGGTTAAGCATCCAACTTCGGCTCAGGTCATGATCTTGTAGTTCGTGAGTCCGAGCCATGTGTCAGGCTCTGTGCTGCTTCAGATTCTGGATCTCCCTCTCTCCCTGCCCCTCACCAGCTCACATGCTTTCTCGCTCGCTCTCTCGTTCTCTCTCTCTCAAAAATAAACATTAAAAATTTTTTTCAATGTAAAAACCATCTTTAAAAAATTAAAAAATAAACATTACTAAATTTTTAAATAACTTTATTCAGATATAATTGGTACACTGTACAGTTAGCCTACTTAAAGTGTCCACTTCAGTGGTTTTCATTGTATTTGCACTTGGGCAGTTTATTGTCACAATCCACTTTAGAGAAGACTTTCCACTTGTCCCAGGAAAACCTCTACACCCGTTGGGAGCCATCCCCTTTCATCCCACCTCACTGGGTGCCCCCCATCCCTCCACCCCAGCCCTAGTCAGCACTAATCCATTTTCTGTCTCTAGATTTGCCTCTTCTGGGCATTTCATGTAAATGGAATCATATAATACGTGATCTGTGTTTTTAGCTTAGCATAGTGCTTGCCAGGCTCGTCCACATTGTACATTTCAGAATTTCATATTTGTGTTGCCAGATACCATTGCGTTGTTTGGATATGCGGCGTTCTGCTTTTCCATCAGTTGACAGGCATGTGGGTTGTTTCCAACTAGGGGCTATTAAGAATAGGGCTGCTGTGAACATTTGTGTGCGAGCTTAACCATTTGGGACCTTCCAGTTTCTCTGCAGTTTGACAAAACTCTCACATATACAGCCTCCACATCTCTCATTTCCCTAATGTGAACTTGCAGAAGTGCAATCACTGACCACAAGGACGCTGCATTTTACAGACCTTGTCAGACGGTGTCTAAGAAGACGGCACTGCCTCTCTCTGCCCTCGCCTTAGTGTCAGCCTGTGTGCTTGGTGACGGGCGTTTAATACCATGTCCTGTAAAATGGAAGACTGTGAGTTTTTTAAGAGACAGGCCCCTACCATCAAGACGTACGCATCTATACAATGGGCATTGTGTTTAGACACAATGGGCGTACTTCTGCCCATCACAGATGGGCAGATTAGATCCAAGGGTATTAGGTAGCAAGGTTAGGTAGGTACCTTCCGGGAGAGAAAAATAGACTGGTTAGATAAAAGAAACATTTGCCTGCCGGGGATGGGATTCACACAGATACGATCATCAAGCAACTTTTTACACCTCACAGTTAAAAAATTAACAGAACCAGGGGCGCCTGGGTGGCTTAGTCGGTTAAGCGTCCGACTTTTGCTTAGGTCATGATCTTGCGGTTCGTGGGTTCGAGCCCCGCGTCGGGCTCTGTGCTGACTGCCAGCTCAGAGCCTGGAGCCTGTTTCAGAGTCTGTGTCTCCCTCTCTCTCTGACCCTCCCCTGCTCACGCTGTCTCTCTCTCTCCTAGAAATAAAGAAAAATATTAAAAAAAAAAAAAAAGTAACAGAACCCAACTGGCCTAGGGACGAGTTTGGTCCGAAGTCAGAAATTGTCCAGATTGCTTAGTCTGAGCCCTGTTGTTCGGAAGACTCAGATGTCAGCACAGTGCCTGTTGGCTCTTGGGGCCCACCAGCCCTGGCTGCGGCTGCCTGCCAACCTGTACTACCTCACAATTTTGTCCACTGTCCTTGGGACGTCTAAACAGCATCCCCTTATTGCTCTCTCGGTCTTTGATATTCAGAACAGCACCACTGAGAGATGCTAAAGTCAGCAAGTCATCCAGTTCTGTAGCTGAGTAGGCGGGGAGGTAGTTCAGCTCGGCCCAGACTTCCCCGTTGACGCTGACACTGGCAGGATTTCATGCCCAGCGGGACCCCCAGATCCCATCCACAGCAGTTGGCCAGTCTGGACCCGGAAAGACCGTGCGTTTGTACAATTGGAGATGGCAAAAGTTCTAGAGATCTTCCAGCAAGCTTCTTTTAAGCAACTGGGAATGCAGAAGCTGCTTGCAGTGCTGCCTTTTTTTCAACTACCGGGACTCAGACTTTTGAAACTGAACCATGTCACATAGCAGAGGCCATTTTCTAACGTGTCACACCTCTTGTTGTTGCATAACTCTTTCAGAAAACACAACGCAGGTAACTGGCAGAAAGCACTGCTGTTAGGAAGCTGCGATTGGCAAGCACGAGCCTAAAAAAAAAACGGAAACCTCTTTTCTCTTTGCAGCTGTCAAGATGTCTGACAAGAACCAGATCGCCGCCACAGCTTCCCTTATTGAGCAACTGATGTCTAGAAGGAATTTTGAGGATCTTGGCAACCACCTTACTGAGCTAGAAACTTTTCATGTGACTAAAGAGCATCTCCAGGAGACCGTTGTGGTCAGGGCCGTGTACAGAGTCCTCAAAACTTGCCCCATGGTGGCTTTGAAAAAGAAAGCCAAGCGTCTGTTGTCAGAATGGAAAGGGCTCTATAAGGATGTGCACTTCAGACCAACGGACAACCCAGAATCATTCGCCGCGGGTGGAAATGAAGAAAACCCAGGGCTTTCTCATGACCCAAGTCAGGGTGCAACATTGGGTGGCTCCATTTCTAATTCATCATCCCACGACATTGCAGAAGCCATTAAAATGACTGCGCCCGAAAATAGCACTCGGCCAGTGGAACCTGAGGAAAAGCATCTCAGGGGTGGTGACCCTAAATCCGCTGATGAGCGATCCAGTGAGTTGCTGGATCCTACAGTCCCTGTGAGAGCTAAATGCACGGAGCTTCTTTACGAAGCTTTAACGAGTTCTTCCGCAGACCAGCCCAAAGCTGATTTGTGTCGCAACCTGGCAAGAGACATTGAGGAGCACATTTTTACCCTTTATTCCAAGAACCTCAAAAAATACAAAACCTGTGTTAGAAGCAAAGTCGCCAATCTGAAGAACCCCAAAAGCTCTCACTTGCAACAAAGCCTGCTCTTGGGGACCATGTCTCCGAGAGAATTTGCCGCGATGACTGTCATGGAAATGGCACACAAGGGCCTGAAGCAGTTGAGAGCCTCGTACACGGAATCTTGCATACAGGAACACCGCCTTCCGCAAGTGCTGGACGGCACGCACACAAAGAAAATAAAATGCAGACGCTGTGAGAAGTTCAATTGCAAGGTCACCGTAATAGCCAGAGGAGCGCTTTTCCTTCCAAGTTGGGTGCGGCGCTCCAATCCAGACGAAGAAACGATGACCTATGTGATCTGTAACGAGTGCGGGGAGCAGTGGTACCACAGCGGGTGGGTGTGCCTGTAAGTGCAAATACAAGCTCTCTTCTCAAAGACCCGGAGTGATACCTTTTTTTTTTTTTTTTGTACTGCCCTTTTACGCTCCGTCTTAAAATTTTATACACACTATTCTTAAAACAAGCCTCAGAAGAAGGAAGGAAAGTCATTCGTTGAGACTCACACCACTGTCACTTTGAAAGATGACAGCTTGGGAAGAGAGCGGGTGAGTCAGAGTGTGGTTGAGAGCAGCTGTGCACACCCTAGAGCCTGTTAGAAATGCAGAGTCCCAGGCCTCGCACCGCTGAGTCTGACTCTGCATCTCGGAGGATACCCAGGGGCTCCTGTTCAAGAGAGCCTGAGAAGGGTGGCTTTCGCAGTTGGCCTGTCGTTCTCAGCAGCGGCTGCATACGAGAATCATCTGGTGCTCAGGGCCCTCCCTCAAACAATTAAGTCTGTATGGGATCCAGTCCCACCGTCAGCATTTCTTTTTAATTTTTTTCATTTATTTTTGAGAGACAGAGTGCAAGTGGGGGAGGGGAAGAGAGTGAGGGAGACACAGAATCCGAAGCAGGCTCCAGGCTTCGAGCTGTCAGCACAGAGCCCAATGCGGGGCTCAAACCCACAGACTGTGAGATCATGACCTAAGCTGAAGTCGGACGCTTAACCGACTGAGCCACCCAGGCGCCCTGACAGCGTTTCTTTTTTAATTCCTCAAGTTATTTTAAGATGCAGAGTCGAGAACTATTCACACATAGGCTCCCACTTGACTGTCTCACAGCTCTAAGAAAAGAATGTCACTGTATACTTTACAGATGAAGAATCAGGTCCATAGAGGTGCTGTGACTTGCGCACACAGCCTTAACTAGCCCAACTCAGACTGCTCCCACATTGGTCTTCTTCCCGATTCCCTGCCCAAGACCACTTCACCATTAACCTCTGAGAAATGTATTCCTGGAGATGTGTCTTTAGGCTCCAACATGCGATGGCCAGAGCTTTGTTCCTGTCCCCTCTCTTTTCTCACTCTACTGGTCTCTCCCTTGAACCATGGAAGTTATCCTGTAATTAATCCCACAGTTAGAATTTTGTTTCAAGACCTCTTACTTAGAGGAATTGGGTATTTTTTGTCATGTTTTTAAATTTTTTAAGTTCTCGAGAGTCTATAAACTGCTTATGAAATTTGGTTTCTGTTGTTAGGGAGTCTTCATGTTCTCAAGGGCACGTGAGTTTAGATCTGGCGGGGCTGGGGGCACCCGGGGGACTCAGTCTTAAGGTGAAGCATCCGACTCCTGATCTCAGCTCAGGTCTTGATCTCGGGTTTGTGAGTTGGGTTCCGCACTGGGCATGAAACCTACTGGAAAAGAAGAAAAGTAAAAAAAGATCTGTAGGGAGGAAAGAAAGCTCTCCTGGACTCTATAGGTGGAACTCTGCAAATGAACACAACAAAAGACAGATTAAAGAGAAAAACAGTTCGTTAACATGTGCCGCGCAATACCTACTGGAGAAACTCAGTGATGAAGAACTCAAAAGGGTGGTTAGAGCCTGGGCTTGTATAGTAGAATCTTAACAAAGAAGCATATATTTGTAGAGAAATGAGACAAAGGAAAGAGGCTTTAGGCTTTTAGGAGCAGCAAACGACAGGAAGGTAAATATGTGAGGGTGCTGACGGAAGCTAGGTTTATTTAGTAAGATTTGTTTGTGTGGACTCTTCTCCATGCCATCCTGTCTCCAACGATAAGATTGTTACCTGCTTCCTGTACAGAATCCACACGGGGGTTTATGTTCTACTTTCAGGCAGGTGCGTGGAAGGCAGAGAGCTCATTCCATCATTCCGTGTCTGCCTTTCCTCATTTGCTTTCAGCCCAGAACGATCCTTATGCCAGGGTGGCATATCTGGGGACCACACACTCTGAACCTGGTTAGGTCTGAAGGTCCAATTCTGCTTATGTAGAAACAGGCCTTCGTCTGTCACAGGTGGTCCGGTGCCTCAGCCTTTGACTTTACCAACATTTCTCCAATGAATGAATTCTTTTTTTTTGTTTTTTTTAACAAATAGTTTATTGTCGAGTTGGTTTCCATATACCCAGTGCTCATCCCCACAAGTGCCCTCCTCCACGCCCATCTCCCCCCTCCCCCCCACACCCATCAGTCCTCAGTTTGTTCTCAGCATTCAAGAGTCTCTCATGGCTTGCCTCCCTCCCCCTCCCCCACTATTTTCCCCCTTCTTCTCCCCCACAGTCCTCCGTTAAGTTCCTCCTAATCCTCCTATACGTGCAAACATATGATATCTGTCCTTCTCTGCCTGACTTATTTCGCTAAGCATAACACCCTCAAGGTCCATCCATGTTGCTACACATGGCCACATGTCATTCTTTCTCATTGCCATGTAGTCTTCCATGGTATAGATAAACCACATCTTCTTGATCCATTTGTCCGTTGATGGACACTTAGGCTCTTTCCATGTTTTAGCTATTGTTGAGAGTGCTGCTATGAACATTGGGGTACATGTGCTCCTATGCATCAGCATTCCTGTATCCCTTGGGTAAATTCCTAACAGTGCTTCCAATGAATGAATTCTGAAGGGGAAGTCAGTTCTTCAAGGCTTTTGTGCAGCGTTTAGCCAATCTGCAATTGTTTCAGCACAGCCTGCATTCCATATGATCACAGCTGGTTGTGTTCTCTTTTAAGAACTTAGAGGGTGTTCATGGTTAGTTTTGTTGTTGTTGTTCTTGAAAGAGAGAGAGAGAGAATCCCAAGCAGGTTCCATGGTATCAACAAGTGCAGAGCTCGATGCAGGGCTTGAACTCATGAACTGTGAGATCATGAATGACCTGAGACCAAACCAAGAGTCAGACGCTTAACCAACCGAACCACCCAGGTGCCCCAATGGTTACGGTTTTAATAAGTTCACTTGTAAGTTATCTCCAGGCCTACATATTTTCACCAGTTCTTTTCCCCTGCCGCTCCTAACTTCTGAGCCAGAGCTCTAGAGGCCTAACCACACATACAGCCACCTCCTGACAGAATTCCCCAAAAGGGGCATACGACTCAAATATGTTTGCGTATTCACATAGCTTGAGGCCATTGAGTGGCGATTCTATTTTGATATCTTTTCTCCCTGTGGCTTCCCAGGGCGGCTCCTTGTGATATAACACATTAGTCTTTTCAAGAGAAACTTGCAAAGTCACCCAAAATTTCAAGTTTCACAAACTGGCTTCATGTGGCCTGGAGTGATCTTAAAAGCTATTCAGTGGTTATAAAAGAGCACGTCACATGAAAACCAAGTGTTCATGTCAGGGTTTGTTTTTGTGTGTGGGGTTTTTTTTTTTTTTTTTTTACTGGAATTGTGCAAACTTAATTTGCAGACAGAAGCATTTGAAATGGCAATTCCTTTACTCTCCTAAAATGTAAAAACCTGGGCAGTCTTTCTCAGTGGCTTTTGGAACAAGAGATAAGCAAATAATAATGTGGGTTTTTTTCTTTTAGCCAATGAGACAGCATTACATTTTTAAGTATAATCATTCTTTCATATTCTCTGTCTTAGCTGCTAAAAAAAAAAAAGTCTTTTTCTTTAAAATTGCTTGTGGGAGAAAGGAGCTTTCATTTTTTTTTTAATATTTATTTTTGAGAGAGCGCGTGTGCATGGGGGAGGGGCAGAGAGAGAGGGAGATGAGACTCCCAAGCAGGCTCTGAGCTGTCAGCATAGAGCCCAATGCAGGGCTTGAACTCAGGAACCGTGAGATCATGACCTGAGCCGAAATCAAAAGTCGGACACTTAAGCGACTGAGCCACCCAGGCGCCCCAAGGAGCTTTCGTTTAATTTGAAATCACGTTTACAGGAGCAGCAAGTGCAATGGCCCCAAGGTGGGGGGTGGGGGGGGGTGGCTGGCACGGACCAGGTAGAACAGGAGCTGTGGCAAGAGGAAGAAGGATGAGAGGTGATGTCGTAAGAGCCATTGGGTTCATTAGGGCCCTTGTCAATCATGACAAGGACTTTGGGTTTTTTCCAAGCCGGATGGGAAGCCATTGAAGCCAGGGAGCTGGTAGTGACACCGTTGGAACGGCCTTTGGGAGGGGCCCCTCTGACTGCTTTGTCAAGTTGAATGGGGAGGGCGGCAAGGATGGGTGCAGACACCCAGTTAGGTGGCGTTAGCACTGATCCAAATGTCATGGATCCAAAATACGGCACCCTGGCGCATTGAGTAAGCTGAAGGAGTGTGAGTGACCAGCGTCAGAGGACCCTCTGTCCCCTCCCTTCTCCTCTGAGGCAAGTCCTAAGAGCCTCCAGGGAGGGGCCGGAAAGAGCAGAGGCAGGGACGCCGAGGGCAATCTGAACGAAGAGGCCTTTCCAGCTTCCCCCTTAGCTCGTACCCTTTTGTCCCGTGACCTCTCCGTGGCGGGGCACTCTTCGTCAAGCCTAGCGTAAAAGCACCCCCCAGAAAGCAACACCAAATCCCGGCGCCTTAACCGCCGTAACCGTGTCTTTGGGGCTCCATTTCCTTCCGAAGGCTCCTGCGTCCTGTGAAAGCTCTACGAGACACACGTGACTGCTTCCCTCCTGTGAATCTGCCTGTTGTTACAGAGCCCCAGCCGAGAACCGCGAGGGGGTGGAAGAAAAAAGACCTCTTTTCCTTCCTTCTGTTGGCAGTTTGGCAGAAGGACGTTTCGTCGAATCCCACCAACCCCACGCCCCCTGCCCCTAATACAGAGCAGCTAACCGCACAGAGACCCAGCCCCACACGCCGCCCAGAGCCTGCATCCCGGTTGCCGGGGCTCTGAGGGGTCCCTGCGTGGGCCTGAGCGCGGAAGGGCTCTCTGGGACCTGCCCCGCACTCTCCCTTTGTCCCCGTGACTTGTTTTAGTTTAAAAAGTTGGATACAATGGCAGCTGGGTGTCTCCTCCCCAGCACTTCCCGGGCCGAGAGGCCCCTTTCACTCCCGATTACCATTTCTAAACACCGGCCTGGAAGCCAAAGCCTCTTCATCTCTCAGGTCAGATCGCTTTCTTTATGACTTTGCAGTAAATGCAAAATAGTTCACAAAAATACTTTCATATCTCG